GAGCCCGGAGCGCGCCGGCGGCCCAGGGCACCTCCCCCTGGCTTCCCGATCCCTGCCCGGCCAGACCCGACCGGGAGGATGGAAACAGCAGCCGCGCTCTGAGCCGCCCGGGAAGACAACACCCTTCCCACCCTATCACCCAGCGGTCCGGCGGAGACCCTCCCTCCCCTAACCCCCTCCACGTCTCGGTCTCCCGGCGCGGGGCCCAACAGAAAAGCCAGCGATGGCGGAAAACCTGCGGAGACTGGTCTCGCACGAGGCTTTACGGACGTTGCAGGCACAGTTAGACACCTGGCTGAGGGAGTACAACGTGAGTCCGGGGCGGGGGGGACCCCGGGGCTCGCCCTCCGCTCCCCGCACAGCCGTGGGCCGGGGGGTTTAAGAGCTGGAGTCCGCCGGTGGCCGCTCTGCAAAGCCCCGCGTCGGTGATTCCTAACGAGGACCTCGGCCTGGGAGCGGGATCGCGGGGAGGGAAGGACACTTGGGGGCGGTCCCCTTTTCTCCAGACTGCGGGCGCCCCGCGCTACTCCCGGCGTCCAGGGGAGCGGCCTTCAGAGGAGTGGTAACCAAGGACGCTGGCGTCCCTAGCAACGGGGGGAGCCCTGGGTCCTCCCGGGATTTGTCGGGTCTGCACCCTCTTTCCCACCCCCCTCATCGGGCAATCCATAAGCCTCCCTCGGATGATTTTTACTACACTCCTCCTTCCCCCTTTCTGCAAGTCTTCGCACTCTGAGGATACCCAGGAATTTTATCAGAACGGATTTGTATAAACATTACCTAGAAGTCAGTGAAATGGACGCTTTTTTAACATTGCGGGGGTCACCCGTGTGCTGGTCAGCAAGGCGATTAAGGCACAATTTCAACACGAGATTTCAGAAGGGTTGTTGCCCAGGCATTTGTAAGAAGCCAATAATCCTGTCATTAAACCCATAATTGCTCTTCAAATATCATTAATCCCTACCCCTACTCAGTTTCCCGTAATCTCCACCTCCACCTCCCACCGAAGTAGAACTGCCTTCTGAAGTTACTTCACAATCAGTCTCCTCTTACTTAGCGAGTAGGGCAGCGAGGCGGAAAGAACTGTGGAGGGGGCATGAACCCCCTAAATTCTAGGTCTGGCTCTGCGTGGAGTTAGCAGAATGATGGGGGCTATTTACTTAACCTTAAATGAGAGAGGTTAGACTAGACGCCATGTAAAGTTCCTTTTTGGATTTCAGTGTTTGAGTCCTCATCAGCTTGTTTCTGAGATTGCTGGTTATGAGCCCCCTGGGCCTCCCCATTCAGAGCTCAGGAAGTGGAGGGGGACTCTGAGGACAGCTACTGATTTCTCCCGAGCTCTCCTTTCTGGTGTTCCCTGTGTAGTCTCTTGCTCATTTTAGAGAACCATCCCTTCTCCATCAAGCAGTCAGGAAAATTAAAAATTCCCTTTTTATCACAAAGGATCTGTGTACCCCCCCACCAATTTGAAAGTACCTCGTCTCTACCCAGTCTGAGAAGGGTATGAATAAACAAATCTTAATACTTGTACAGTATTCACCCTTTTTTATTGCCCCATGTTTTATCTAAACTCCGAACTCTAAAATAAACAAATAAATGCATAAATAAATTGTTTGTCTTAATGTTTATCACAAATAACACTAGCATTTGGCTGGAAAATTCCCTGTAAATGCTGAGAAATGCCTTAGTTTATTGCATTTTCCGGTCTGGGAAACACACCCTTCCCATTCAATCTGACTTCTCCCTCCACACACTATGGCAGAGACCGTGCTCCCAGTGACAGTGTCTTTCCAAAGACACTTGCGGCTGTTTCCCAGGCTCCATCATTGTTCTTGAGCTCTAGGGCATCTCTGTGACATCTGCATCCTTCCGTCTCCACTCCTGCTTCATCTCCCCACATAAGTGGATGAATCTCATGTCTGTCTTCTGGGCCTGCTCTTATCTGAGCTCGTTTCTCTGACTGCCCACTGGACATTTTCAATTGTCTTCTTAAAGTCATATTGGTCTAAAGCTGAGTTTAGCCTCAACCCATGCCAGGACCATGGAGCCCTTCCTGACTTGGCATCATTGTGACGTACTCCACAGCCCTTTACCAGCACAATATGTAGGTTCTAACCTCAAAATTCACACAGAATCTGAACACTTTTTACCATCTCTGTTGTTACCGTTGTCCACCTTTGATCTTCTTTTACCTGGATTATTACAAAAATATTTATTAGTAACCCAAGGTGATTCTTTTAAATGGTGAGTCAGATCAAATTACTTCTTTGGCAAGACCCTCCAGACTTCCTATTTCCTTCCCCCAAATTTCCGACAATAGCCTTCAACGTCCTACTCAATTGGGATCATGACGTTTCTGACCTCATCTATTACTGTCCCCTTGCTCAGTCCACACCGGCAACACTGGCTCTCTTGCCCTTGAGTGGTGCTGCCCAGTGAACGCTCAGAGATGATGGACAAGTTCTGTGTCTGTTCCATCCAACGTGGGGATGTCTCAGAAAAAGAAAAAAAAATGGGGACTCATGGGCACTTGAAATGTCCAAGTGTGCGCTGAACAGCTGAATTTTTAATTTCACTTTGATTTGATTTAAATTCAAATAATCACATGTGGCTCATGGCTACTGTTCTGTCTTAGCACAGAACATGCCCGCCGCGCTCTTGTTTCAGGGAGTTTTGAGTTGGCTGTTTCCTCTGCTTGGAAAGCTTTTCACCTGCTGATATTTGAGTGAGACAGCAACATGTTTTCTTCCTTGGCTCCTTCAAATCTTTGCTTAAATGTCACCCTCTCAGAGAGGCCCACCTGACCATCCTGTCCACACGTGCAGTGTTCTACCCTCACCCCCATACTCACTGGCTTCTTTCCTGGCTTTATTTCTTCTATAATCCCTACATCTTTTACTTTTTATTTACTCATTTTGCTTATTCTCAGTTCCCCTTTCCCCTCCACTAGAATGTAAATTCTACAGGTCGAAGATATCTACCTTGCTCATCTCCCTGTTGTTTTCCCAGCACTTAGAATAGTGCTTGGCGCCCAGTAGTTGCTCAACAAATACACAATGACTGAATTACTGCCAGATGCCTGACTCATTTCTCATGTCCAGTGTAGAATTAAAAATTACTCTCAAATATCTTTAATTCAGCTTCTATTTAAAGTTGAATCAAAACTATAAGCCCCAATTTTCAATTCGGGGAGCAAGTGTGAGAATGTAAGTGTTGTTAACAACCAGTCTTTATGTAGCTAACGGGAGAGGATGAGAAAATGTCTATATGATAGGATAAAATTTCAGTAAACTCTCAACCTATTCTCTCACTTATCATTTATACTTACGGTTTTGGTCAACTGCTAAGTGCTTTCCTATGATACACTACAAGCTTGTGTACTAGTTCCAGGGACTTTTGACTTTAAACTTTAAGATGAAACGTATTCATTGTAGCAAACTGCACTTGTTAAAATGTTGGTTATAGAGAACTCTGTTTGCTTATTAAAAGCTGTACATTATGTTTGCTACAGAAAGTCAATTTTGCAGACTGTGACCACATTGGATCGATTCTAATTAACTAGAGCAAAATAAAAGACCATGTCTACTCCTTTAGAATTCAGGATGTGGGCTCGGCGCCTATAGCTCAACCGGCTAAGGCGCCAGCCACGTACACCTAAGGTGGCAGGTTCGAATCCCCAGCCCGGACCCGCCAAACA